TTTCTTTTTTTCAATTCTGACTATGTATGTGTGTTTATCTCCAGTGAGAGTTTATACAGGCTGTGTGTGTTGTCGTGTGCCAGTGCCATGCCTCTGTTCTGGTGTGATACAAGGTGATGTGAAGTGGAAGTGATATCTATAAAATAGGAAATGGAGAGAGGCACTCATGCGCAAAGCAGCCCTGACTTTACAGAGCCCGTTTGGCCTTGTAGAAAAGGTCATGCAACTCAACAGTGACATGAGGTGGCGTGTTTGCCTCTAGAAATGTACATGTTTTAGTGCATTTGTGTAAAATGTGGAAGAGTTATACTGCCTGTCTTTCCCTTTCTCTATTTTTGACACACACATACACACACATGTCTGGTTTGCTATCCTTGTGGGGACTCTCCATAGGCGTAATGGTTTTTCTACTATACAGACCGTATTTTCTATTGCCCTACACCTAAACCTACCCCTTACAGGAAAATTTTTGCATTTTTAGATTTTCAAAAAACTTAATTCTGTGTGATTTATTAGCTTGTTTACCCGTGGGGACCTCAATTTAGGTCCCCACCGTGACACGGGTCCCCATGATTCTGTGTGTATTCAGGTTTAAGTCCCCACCAGAATAGAAAAACAGGTACACACACTCACACACACACAGAGAGAAAGAGAGAGTGAGAGACCATGCTTCATTATCTATCAGCACAGACATCTTGTCAGAATAAACGGGATGATGTCTGACTGCTAAACATGTTTGAGGAAAGAGCTTTCCTCTTTCTGGAAATTATATGGCAACTCCTGCGCAGCTCACCTGTCAGAGAGAATTATTTGGGTCTCCTTCAAGCAATGCAAATAACGACACCCAAAAACTTATTAGAGCAGCGTCTGTGTATGTATGCGTGTGCGCAGATGTGCGTTTGTGTATGCACCCACATTCTTGTAACATCTTGCGTGGGAGCATGTGCTTACGTGCACGAGCTTGTGTGTACGTGTGTGTGTGGCAGTTTGACATCTGCTTTTGAGTTTTGTCTGAGTTCTCCTCTGGGAACTGGCTTTTATTTGAATTTTCGGGCTTTATGAATGAAATTACAGTGCAGAAAATTGGAGAGTTTATGACTCACCAGATGTCGTTCTAAACTTTTTGCTAAACTCAGTGGCTTGTGACTTATTTGAAGTAAAATTGAATATCGGGTGTTTGCATGAACTCTCCAGAACCACATTAGGTGTGTGCCGAGGCCCAGGTGTGCTGAAGTGTTGAGAGAGGTCATGGTTTGGGTTAGACAGCGGGTGATTTAATGCTCTCTGCAGTGTTATGAATGAAATTACAGTGCAGAAAATTGGAGAGTTTATGACGCACCAGATGTCGTTCTACACTTTTTGCTAAACTCAGTGACTTGTGACTTATTTGAAGTAAAATTGAATATCGGGTGTTTGCACGAACTCTCCAGAACCACATTAGGTGTGTGCCGAGGCCCAGGTCTGCTGAAGTGTTGAGAGAGGTCATGGTTTGGGTTAGACAGCGGGTGATTTAATGCTCTCTGCAGTGTAACCACTGCACAACTGTAATGGTAACACTTTAGATCAGGTAACACATATTCACTATTAACTAAGATTTTTCCTCAATATAATCTAATTTGCTGCTTATTGATAGTAAGTAAGGTAGCTGTATTATTAGTTATGTTTAGGTACTTATTATTAGTTAATGCATTAATTATCGTTAATTTACAATGAGCAATGCATTTGCTGCAGTGTTTATTAGTCTTGGTGAACGTTAGTTATAAAAAAAAAAAAATAACTGTTTATTATTAGTTCATGTTAGCTTAGGTCCATTAAAAAATATTATAACTTTTGGCTTTAATAATTCTTTAGTAAATGCTGGCATTAAAATTAACTAAGATTAATAATTGTTTTAGAATCGTTTGTCATGTTAACTAATAACTGGGTTGTTACATGAATTTCAGCACAAAACCATTCAACAGTTCAGTGTAAAACAGTGCACTTTATCATATCATATTTCATATTTGTGCATAATTAGTTTCAACATGCAAAAATAAATATTGATATTTTCTTGTTGGCCATGATAAGTTCCAGAATATTTATTATTTACATATTTATAGAGTTTGTACTGTATGTGACTCTATTATAATAATAATAAATATAAAATTAAATTCTATCATAATTTACTCACTCTCCTGTCAATGTCTTTATGAACTTTTTGCAGCTTGAACATTTTGTTTGTGTGGACCTATAGATGGACAAAAAGGATACAAGATTATTACAAATGATTATAAAAAAAAAAAAGTGACTTAAGCCATTATTCATTTATTCCATTAGCAAAATTGTTCCTTAATAGTAGTTACCGACTTAAAGTAAGTTGTATTTGGCTGGTCATGTGATTTATAGATGAGTTCATGAGTTCCTCATGAGTTCACCTGCTCTATATAAAATAAAAGTTATTAGACTGCTGATACGGATGTGAGTGCACATGATTTTACAGACTTGCATGGTTTGCAGCAAGCCTGCTTACTAGTTAGTTTTTGTATTAATGATTGGGCTGAGAATCGATTTCAAGGGTTTGAATTGATTCCATCAAAGGGAATCAACTTCTCTTTAATAGCTTTTTTCAGTTCAGTAGAGCTAATAATTAATTCACCTCTTCGCTCGCAGTGTTGGGGAAAGTTACTTTTAAAAGTAATGCATTACAATATTGTTACTCCCTAAAAAAAGTAACTAATTGCGTTACTTAGTTACTTTTTATGGAAAGTAATGCGTTATGTTACTTTTGCTTTATTTTTTCTCAACTGGGATGTGGAATTCAACAATTAAAAAATGAAACAAATGCAATGTATATCTAAAGTCATTTTTGCTTATTAGTATGTTTGAATTGGATCATTGGAGCATCAGCTGCAAAGACATTGGTTAATAACGTAGGAATAAATACATAAAGGATATTTGTGTTAACATTTAATTATTCCAGGTTTGCATCATATTCTGAGTGTGCATTTCTGTTTTCATTCATTTTGAGGAATACTGAATCTCTTTTTGTGCAAGTGAGATGAGTAAATTCAAGTTCACATTTAGACTAGAACTACAGTAACCGTCATGTTTACACAGCGCACACAATGCCTCTGCACTTACTCCCGATTTCTCTCAAATGGGGGGAACTGTCGTTACTAATTTGAAAAATTATATACTTTCTGGTTACTTGAAAAAAAGAAGTAACTCGTGTTACTTGTAATGCATTACCCCAACAGTCGCTCGCTAATAGTGATGGAACATCAGATTCATTTTTGCAAACCAGTTCTTTCAGATGGTTTGTTTCAATGAATCAGTTAAACAAATGTGTGTCATGTTCGGTACGTACCTCAGTTTTGGGGTCACGGGACGGGTTCGGGACGAATACATGTACCGTTACACCTGTGCAAGTGAGGAGTAAATTCAAGTTCGCATTTAGACTATAACTACAGTAACCGTCATGTTTACACAGCGCACACAACGCCTCTGCACTTACTCCCGATTTCTCTCAAATGGGGGGAACTGTCGTTACTAATTTGAAAAATTATATACTTTCTGGTTACTTGAAAAAAAGAAGTAACTCGTGTTACTTGTAATGCATTACCCCAACAGTCGCTCGCTAATAGTGATGGAACATCAGATTCATTTTTGCAAACCAGTTCTTTCAGATGGTTTGTTTCAATGAATCAGTTAAACAAATGTGTGTCATGTTCGGTACGTACCTCAGTTTTGGGGTCACGGGACGGGTTCGGGACGAATACATGTACCGTTACACCCCTAGTGTGTATGGTATGTTAAGCTGAAACATTTAAATAAAGCCATATATTTAAACACACTGCTGATTATTACCTTTCATTCACTTAAGTCAATGAGGTTTGTTGTCACTGTTTCATTCAGTGATCCTGCATGTCAAATAGCATGCGACTGACAAATATTGATTAGCCTACATCTTGGACAAGTTACCTAAAAGTTTTGCACCTAAAACATACATTACAGACAATGATGCACAAATGAAGATTTGTTCTAAATGTCTTATAAACTCCATAATTTAGCTTAAAGAGTGAGATATCTTGGTATGTTGTTTACGATGGACCATTTTGAACAGAAAACATGAAGATAAACCCTGATGGAAAAACAGCTGAAACCAGCCTAATGTGGTTTTAGCTTGTCTTCAAGCCTGCTCATAGATGTTTTTCAGGCTGGTTTTAGAGTTGTTGTTTTTTTCTGGACCTTTAAACACTAAGGACCTTTAAAAGGATGTACAGTGTAAGCCTTAATTTCATGTATAGCCACAGGTGATTAGGTGAACATATTCCTCCAATCTAACAAAAAAAAGTGAGGTATCGATTTCAGAGTTGATTCCACGAATTTTGCAATTGAACAGCACTAGTTAATGGTACAACCAAAATAAGTAGTTAAGAGTTATTTATGAGCCAAGTTAACCTGATGCTAGTTATTTGTGACCTAGTGTGAACTTTACATCTCAATTTATAGTAAAATTCATGAGGCATGGTATTACATTTTAACATTTTTATGACATTTTTGTCCCCTGTTGTCTCCCGGTTTGATGGCGACTCTGAATTTAAGTAACGAATGGATGGTGCATCTCTGCCCTACTGTGACTCACATCATGGATCAGACCCATGTGCGTTTGCTGTCTGTCAGACGCTTTAAGGGACTGATGGGAACATTGGTGGGCTATAATTCGAACCCCACTTGTCCTAACGCTCTCATTCTTTCCTCTCCATTTTGCCCATTACAATCCGGTTCCATTATCTCTCTGTCTCCGTGGCTAGTGAGAGTCATTGAAAGGGCACGGCTGAAATGGCACTGGCTACAACAAAGGCAGTGTAAGGAGATGCCTATCAAACCCCCGGCAGGTGGGAGAGGCAGACGTGGGCACGACTCCTCATTACGTGTGCTCACACAAGGCTTAAGCCACGGCCACATGAAAGCTCTCTCTGGGTACCGGGTGTCAGTCTGTTTTCTTTTTCTTCCAACAGGACTGACCTCCCCCCTGCTCATAAGCCGGCCCCTCCGCCACCCAAGAAAAAGAGCAGCGACATGAAAGGCGGCCTGACGTCTGACGAGATCCAGGTAGGGCGTCTTCCTCTTTTCCGCACACGGCATGCCTCAGGAAACACTTACACCACCACCCATGATCTTCAGTCTGCCTCTGAATCATTACTTTCACATTTCTTCACTTCATAAATGTGCACTTTTTGAGTTGAAGTAAGGGATTTTTTAGACTTAAACCTTTTGTTTTGTGATCTAGGTGTTTGTAATGAAGTCAGGCCTCAGTTAGAAACACCCAACCATGTCCTTTATTTTACTGCACTTCCTGTAATTACTTCTACTTTATTATGAAATTATTTATAATATAAATTGATTTCTGCATACATAATTTACAATATACGGATATTTTACAAATATTTAAAGATGTATTACTCACATATTTACTATGTACATAGACACATTTTATGCATAAGTCTTTTACTTTTAAAGTAATGTGAATTTACATTCTGCAAAACATAATTTCTGCAAGACATAATAATTATCAATTATCATTTAATTGATAAAATGAGGTTAAATGTGGCGTCTGTTTTACTTCGCCCACATGCATGTCAACCAAAGTAAAAGGAGTACAATAAATACGAGTACAAAAAAAGGCATACAATAAATTTGTGCATTAAAGTAACCATTGTTGGTTGAAAATGTTAGCTTTATACACTTCTATTCAAACATTTGAGCTTTGTAAGATTTTTTTATATATTTTTTTTTTTGAAAAAAGTCATATACTCACTGAGGCTGCATTTATTTGATTAAAAATATGGTAAATATTATTACAATTTAGAATGTTTTCTGTTTTGATATATTTTAAAAATGTATTTTTTTCCTGTGATGCAAATCTGAATTTTCAGCATCATTTCAGTGTCACATGATCCTTCAGAAATCATTTTAATATGCTGATGTGGTGCTCAAGAAATATTTATTTTTATTATTAATGTTGAAAACAGTTGTGCTGCTTAATAATTTTGTGGAAACTGTGATATTTTTTTCCAGAATTTTTCGATAAATTTATTTGACATAGTTGCAACATTAGAAATGTTTCACTGTCAATAATGATCAATTTAAAGGGATAGTTCATCAAAAAAAGAAGAAAATGCTCTTATCATTTACTCACCCTTATGTCATTCGAAACCTGTATGAATTTCATTCTTTTGCTGAACACAAATAAGATATTTTGAAGAATGTGAGTAACCAAACTTTTGACGGTAGCCATTGACTTCCATTGTATTTTTTTTTTTTTTGAGTGAACTATCCCCTTAAATCATCCTTGCTGAATAAAAGTATTAAAGGGGTCATATGATGCGATTTCAAGTTTTCCTTTCTCTTTGGAGTGTTACAAGCTGATTGTGCATAGATAAGATCCCTGAAGTTGCAAAGACTAAAGTCTCAAAACCAAAGAGATATTCTTTATCAAAGTTAAGACTCTGCCACGCCCCCCTAAAACGGCTCATTCTAACACGCCCCCACATATCTACCCCACTATGTGGAAATATTTGCATAATCCCGCCGCAAATGTGCACGCAAAGAAAGAAGGCGTGGTTTCAGTAACCGCAGTTAGTGTTGAAGCAGCATGTCAGGGAGACGCTGTGTGTTTCTAGGCGAAAGCAGAAGCACTTTATTTGGCCTTCCGAAAGTAGATGCATTTAGGAATCTTTAAGATTACTTACAACAGAACAGCAATGCATTTTATGGACGACCGTTTCGTGAACCTAGGAGAGGAGGTAATTCTGACTTTGCTATGACAATCTGGCGCTTCTGAATGAGCTACTGTTTTGTTATTAGTTTAAGTATTTGCTATTGACTGTTCAAATGCAGAGTTTTGCGCAGTGCAGAGTAACGCGTTGTGTGTGTGTGTGTGTGTGTGTGTGTGTGCACGAGAGAGAGAGAGACAGGGTCACATCACAGTGGAGTCAGCTGTCTTAACCGTGGCTTGTGTACTGCAAACACATACCAGCTTCATCACTGCGTCTGTCACGCGACTCTGTTCCCCTTTCGGGCTCTGTCTTTACATTTATTTTGAAAGATGAAGCTCGCGATTATGGTAAGGGGCGTTACATTTCCGACGAGTGCTTGCGGTGTTAGGCCAATCACAATGCACTGGGTCAGCTGGCCAATCAGAGCAGACTGCGCTTGTCGGAAGGCGGGACTTTGTAGAAAACGAAGTGTTTGAGAGAGGCGGGGCATAGAGGACCTACAATAATGTACAGTATTTGAAAAATTATGTGTTTTTTGAACATTAAAGCATGTCAACATATTCTGTTACACCAAATACACCAAATAATGATCTTTAAAAAAGCATCATATGACCCCTTTAATATCTTTATTATCTTTATATATATTATTATTTAGATTTTCTATCTAAAAAAACACCTTACTGATGCCAAAATGTAGCTGTGCTTTAAAAGGCAAAATGCTGTTATTGCATTCAGTACAAATCTACTAACACCAGCTGCAGGTCAGTTGGTTTCTCCTGATCCACCACTTCTGATGATAATCTAAAGAAACCACAATCTTGTGTAAATGCAGTGTTTCTACACCGCGCATCCGTTTTGGTAATTTTTAGCTCCAATTGAATGAATCGTTAATTTAAAACAGCTTATTTCCAATTACGCCTGAGGAACCAAGACGTGCCACCACAGAGCGTTTGCTTGCAAATACTAATTTAATCTCTTCAACAGCTTCTGAAAAACTGTTGATTTAATCACCTTCAACAAAACTGAAAAACAGAGTAGTCGCTTATACGACTGCACCGAGGGAAAAAGTATGGTGAAAAATCAGGTATCACTCTAAGAATATTGTTGTGCAAACGCCCCAGCAAAAGCAGTGAGCATGTTGAAGCGACTGTGAATCTATGATGGATCCTGCTAGATGAACTTGAACGAATGATGGCCATTATGCCAAGATGATCTCATGCTGTCATACAGTCCAAAGGCTATGCGAGATATAAGTAGGGAGTCCAGGGCAACTATTTAACATTTTCCAGTTTGTAGTAATGAATTCCATCTAGTTTCCTACATGTCTTGTATTTTAGCTAAATCTTGTGATGATCTGTCACTTATATCACTATTTTCTTTTCCACATTTGTAGTCTAAGTCAGAATTTGTTCCAAATGAACACACCTATGCTCCTACAGTCTTCATTTTGAACATTTACCAAGTAGCTTAGCTCATTTTTGTCTGTAATTTTGCTGTGCGGGATGTTTGTCAATTATGTAAATGATGTTAATTAGCACCACACAGATCCGCTTTCATTTGTGAGATTACGCTATGTTGACATTTCTCAGTCCATGTGAGGTTTCGTGCAGATGTCCGATACTGTAATTGGCATTCATGACACACCAGCATTCACATTTGCATTTGTCTTCTGCTACGTACTCGAAATGAGGTACGTTGTTCTTGGTGGACAATGCTAATTTCGAAAGAAGCCGAGCAAAATCAACTTCCCTAAATCGATAGCGTCTTTCGAAGGTCACCGTGGTTCTACTAAATCTTTCTGAGCGCATCTGGAAACTGAATTTCCCTCATGCCTTCGGAGACATTTGGCTCTAGCAGTGGCATTTTGAAAGCAAAGAATCCGTGAGGGGCACAGAATTGTAAAAACCTGACAGTAAACATGATCAGGCTGTGATTGTGTCTCCCGGTTCTTATAGCACACAGGAGAGATAGTGAGATCACAGGCGAGTTGCTTTTATAAACTGCAGGTGTCTTGCCTTCCTCTTTCTTCCCATTCAAATATCAACTGCGTTTGAGTTTGTTTATGTGTTTGTTGTGTTGAAGGAGTCATTGAATTTTTTGAGCCATGCCAACTCGGATGTCTGGCCTGCGTGAATCTGTGGGTGTGCGTTTCATCTGGTGCCCAGCTCAGATCCCATAAATGTTTGTTTCATGAAAGTTTCAATAAGATCAGGCCTTCCGCGGTGGATGGCTAGTGTGCTGGTGAAGGGAAGACCTGTTGTTGGTATAAACAAAGGACAGTTGCCCTCACAGTTGGTGTTGCTAGGAAACTGCTTACAACAGACTTCTATAGAAAGTTGAGTGTGCACATACATACATACATACCACTGTACTAAACCACTTTCTTTGTTATCATCACCCCTATGTGTGCTTCAATTACACCACAGACACATTATGAACGAATCTCATGTAAGCCCACGTGTGTCCTTGAACTTCAAAAATGCTTCAGAGACGTTCAAAGGGGCTGCTTTGTAGTCAGCATGAAATCAAAATGGACCCAGTTTATGTTGTAATACACATCCTTGAGGCCTCACAAAGCAGATTCAAATGGTTGGATTGGTGGACTTGTTATGTGTGTATGTATTTGTTTGTTTGTTTATTATAGTAACTTGGCTTCTGGGAAGGTTGCAAGGTTTTTTATTTATTTTTTTAATTTTTTTTCTGGGTTAATGATTGCAAACATATTCTAGACCAATCAGCTGTGAGAAAAAAATTAAATAAATAAATACATAAATAACATGTCTTTGATGCAATAGAGTCACACCCCCATATCTCTCACTACAAATCACAGTGTGATTCACAGGGGGGAAAATATTGTGATGACAAAATTGCCTAATGTGTAAATATATATTTTTATAGTATTGTTACTGATATATTATTTTATATTGCAAAATTTGCTTACATTTTAAGCTGTATATTACACATTCATTGCAAGTTACATACTTGTATGAGCTATTATATTGACACATATATTGTTATTAATCCTTAGTATTGCCAATCAATAAAAAGCTTTTAATTTCAATTAAGATAAATATAATATACACTACTGTGCAAAAGACAGTGACATTATGAAATATTATTGCAATTTAAAATACATGTTTTCAGTTTTAATATATTTTGAATTTATTCCTGCGAATTTTCAGCATCATTACGCCAGTCTTCAGTGTCACATGATCCTGTTAATATACGAATTTGGTGCTAAAGAAATATACATTTTTATTATCAATGTTGAACATGGTCATGCTGGTTATTTTATTTTATTTTATTTTATTTTATTTTATTTTATTTTATTTT